TACTTAATCTTGAGGAACTCCAACATTTCAGGCAGCCAGAGAAAGAGAAATGAACTATAGAAAAGACAGGTATAGGTGTACTAGAAGAGGAAAGTTATTAAAGTGTGGTGTAATTGATGGCAAGGCTGAATTAATTTATTAGTTCTAATAGTTTTTCAGTGTAGTCATTAGGACTTTCTGTATATATTTATATTAGTCTTTAGGACTTCTGTATATGCAATTACATCAAATATAAGAAACTTACCTTCCTTTTTTCCAGTGTGGACCCCCCCACCATGCCTTATTTTTATTGTGTCTTATTGCTTTGGCTAGGACTTTTAGTATTATATTGAATAAAAGTAGTGAAAGTAGCCATTCATGTCTTGTTCCTGATTCTAGAAAGAAAGCATTTGGCCTTTCTCCATTAAGTATTATGTTAACTATTGGCTTACTATGTATGGCCTGTATTATGTTGAGGTATGTTTTATTCTATGCCCAATTTCTTCAGAATTTTTATTGTGAAGGAATGTTGAATTTTATCAAATATTTTTTTCCATATCTATTGAGATTGTCAAGAGGTTTTTGTCCTTTATTCTTTTGGTGTAGTGTATCATGTTTATTGATTTGTGTAGTTTGAACCATCCTTACATCTCTGGGATGAATCCTACTTGATCATGTTGAATAATCTTTTTTTTTTTTAAATTTTTTATTGTTGGCTGTTCAAAACATTACATAGTTCTTGATATATCATATTTCACAATTTGATTCAAGTGGGTTATGAGCTCCCATTTTTACCCCATATACAGATTGCAGAATCACATCAGTTACATATCCATTGATTTACATATTGCCATACTAGTGTCTGTTGTATTCTGCTGCCTTTCCTATCCTCTACTATCCCCCCTCCCCTCCCCTCCCCTCCCCTCCCCTCTTCTCTCTCTGCTCCCTCTACTGACATTCGTTTGTCCCCCTTATATTATTTTTCCCCTTCCCCTCACTTCCTCTTGTATGTACTTTTGTATAACTCTGAGGGTCTCCTTCCATTTCCATGCATTTTCCCTTCTCTCTCCCTTTCCCTCCCACCTCTCATCCCTGTTTAATGTTAATCTTCTTCTCATGCTCTTCGACCCTACTCTGTTCTTAGTTACTCTCCTTATATCAAAGAAGACATTTGGCATTTGTTTTTTAGGGATTGGCTAGCTTCACTTAGCATAATCTGCTCTAATGCCATCCATTTCCCTGCAAATTCTATGATTTTGTCATTTTTTAATGCAGAGTAATACTCCATTGTGTATAAATGCCACATTTTTTTTTATCCATTCATCCATTGAAGGGCATCTAGGTTGGTTCCACAGTCTAGCTATTGTGAATTGTGCTGCTATGAACATCGATGTAGCAGTGTCCCTGTAGCATGCTCTTTTTAGGTCTTTAGGGAATAGACCGAGAAGGGGAATAGCTGGGTCAAATGGTGGCTCCATTCCCAGCTTTCCAAGAAATCTCCATACTGCTTTCCAAATTGGCTGCACCAATTTGCAGTCCCACCAGCAATGTACAAGTGTACCCTTTTCCCCACATCCTCGCCAGCACTTGTTGTTGTTTGACTTCATAATGGCTGCCAATCTAACTGGAGTGAGATGGTATCTTAGGGTGGTTTTGATTTGCATTTCTCTGACTGCTAGAGATGGTGAGCATTTTTTCATGTACTTGTTGATTGATTGTATGTCCTCCTCTGAGAAGTGTCTGTTCAGGTCCTTGGCCCATTTGTTGATTGGGTTATTTGTTTACTTATTGTTTAATTTTTTGAGTTCTTTGTATACTCTGGATATTAGGGCTCTATCTGAAGTGTGAGGAGTAAAGATTTGTTCCCAGGATGTAGGCTCTCTATTTACCTCTCTTATTGTATCTTTTGCTGAGAAAAAACTTTTTAGTTTGAGTAAGTCCCATTTGTTGATTCTAGTTATTAACTTTTGTGCTATGGGTGTCCTATTGAGGAATTTGGAGCCCGACCCCACAGTATGTAGATTGTAGCCAACTTTTTCTTCTATCAGACGGCGTGTCTCTGATTTGATATCAAGCTCCTTGATCCATTTTGAATTAACTTTTGTGCATGGCGAGAGAAAGGGATTCAGTTTCATTTTGTTGCATATGGATTTCCAGTTTTCCCAGCACCATTTGTTGAAGATGCTATCCTTCCTCCATTGCATGCTTTTAGCCCCTTTATCAAATATAAGGTAGTTGTAGTTTTGTGGATTGGTTTCTGTGTCCTCTATTCTGTACCATTGGTCCACCCGCCTGTTTTGGTACCAGTACCATGCTGTTTTTGTTACTATTGCTCTGTAGTATAGTTTGAAGTCTGGTATCGCTATACCGCCTGATTCACACTTCCTGCTTAGCATTGTTTTTGCTATTCTAGGTCTTTTATTTTTCCATATGAATTTCATGATTGCTTTCTCTATTTCTACAAGAAATGCTGTTGGGATTTTGATTGGCATTGCATTAAACCTATAGAGAACTTTTGGTAATATCGCCATTTTGATGATGTTAGTTCTGCCTATCCATGAACAGGGTATATTTTTCCATCTTCTAAGATCTTCTTCTATTTCTCTCTTTAGGGTTCTGTAGTTTTCATTGTATAAGTCTTTCACCTCTTTTGTTAGGTTGATTCCTAAGTATTTTATTTTTTTTGAAGATATTGTGAATGGAGTGGTTGTCCTCATTTCCATTTCAGAGGCTTTGTCGCTGATATACAGGAATGCCTTTGATTTATGCGTGTTGATTTTATATCCTGCCACTTTGCTGAATTCATTTATTAGCTCTAATAGTTTCTTTGTAGACCCTTTTGGGTCTGCTAGGTATAGAATCATATCATCTGCAAATAGTGACAATTTAAGTTCTTCTTTTCCTATATTTATGCCTTTAATTTCTTTCGTCTGTCTAATTGCTCTGGCCAGTGTTTCGAGAACTATGTTGAACAGAAGTGGTGAGAGAGGGCATCCCTGTCTTGTTCCAGATTTTAGAGAGAATGCCTTCAGTTTTTCTCCATTCAGAATGATGCTAGCCTGAGGCTTAGCATAGATTGCTTTTACAATATTGAGGTATGTTCCTGTTATCCCTAGTTTTTCTAGAGTTTTGAACATAAAGGGATGCTGTACTTTGTCGAATGCTTTTTCCGCATCTATCGAGATGATCATATGGTTCTTATTTTTAAGTCTATTGATGTGGTGAATAACATTTATTGATTTCCGTATATTGAACCAGCCTTGCATCCCAGGGATGAATCCTACTTGATCATGGTGCACAATTTTTTTGATATGTTTTTGTATCCGATTCGCCAGAATTTTATTGAGGATTTTTGCATCTAGGTTCATTAGAGATATTGGTCTGATGTTTTCTTTCTTTGAAGTGTCTTTGTCTGGTTTAGGTATCAGGGTGATGTTGGCCTCGTAGAATGAATTTGGAAGTTCTCCCGCTTTTTCTATTTCCTGAAGTAGCTTGAAAAGTATTGGTATTAGTTCCTCTTTAAAGGTTTTGTAAAATTCTGCTGTATACCCATCCGGTCCTGGGCTTTTCTTAGTTGGTAGTCTTTTGATGGTTTCTTCTATTTCCTCGATTGGTATTGGTCTGTTTAGGTTGTCTATATCCTCCTGACTCAATCTGGGCAGATCATATGACTTCAGAAATTTATTGATGCCTTCACTATCTTCTAATTTATTGGAGTATAAGGATTCAAAATAATTTTTGATTATCTTCTGTATTTCTGAAGTGTCTGTTGTGATATTGCCTTTTTCATCCCGTATGCTAGTAATTTGAGTTCTCTCTCTTCTTCTCTTCGCTAGCATGGCTAAGGGTCTGTCGATTTGAAGAAAAGAATCCTTTCCAATTATGACTTAAAAGCCAGTTCTGCAAGTTTGTAACAGTTCTGTTCAGAGTGAATTAACCATAACCAAAGTCAATAGACACAAACAACTTGGGTACAAATCTGAGAAGATTGGGCAAAAGATACTCAGAAGTCAAAAAAAGGCAAACAGAAATGGCTGTGAAACATATGAAAATACACTATAATCTAATAGTTTTTTAAAAAAATATATTTATTTTTTAGTTGTAGTTGGACACAATACCTTTATTTCACTTATTTATTTTTATGTGATATTGAGGATTGAACCCAGGATCTTGCACGTGCGAGGCGAGCGCTCTACCGCTGAGTCACATCCCAAGCCCTATATCTAATAGTTTTAATGAATTAATAGTATAGATGTATCATTATCACCTCTGTGAGTGGAAACAATTCTGAAAGTTTGACTATGTTCCCTTTTGGTGAGACTGGTAAAATAAGTTATTTCAGATATCACTGGTAGAAATGCCTAACAGTCAATCAATGCAGTTAGAGAAGTACTTAAAAATACTTAGCCTTCTAGGATGGTAATGTGAAAATATACATTTATGAATATGATATGACATATGCACAAGTTTTTTAAAATTTAGAAAATTCAAAGAAATTTACAACCCCAATATATAAATGAATTACTGCTCATCGCCTACACACCAGGCTTGACTAAAATCAAGCAAAATCATTTGCATATTCTATTGAATGAAGAAGAGAAGTAACTGAAATCTAGAGAAACTCCAGCCTCCGATTCTAAATCTCAAACTCCCAGTCTTATCTACCCATATGTATGAGAATCTGAAAATTATTGGTTAATTAAATCACACATTTTTCTCCCTTCAAAATGTGAGTGAAGGAATCAGGAACACCAATATCTGACCTTTATACTCCTCTGGGCCCTCCTTTTTCCATTGTTACATTCCACCATTTGGAAAAGAGTCTTTCTTCCCCCTAGAGTCTGTCAAGGTCTATCCCCTTGTGCTACTTTATCTTGCTTCCTAAAATGGTATTCAGTATCTCTTCCATAGATGAAATGACTGTGACTTCTGGGTGAGAGTGATGGTGTGAAATGGACTTTATTATTTGTTCAAGGTTTTTACTCACTGTGAGAAACTTTAGAGCAATTAGTACACTTACATTCAAAAGGGACATAGTACTGCCTTTATTTAGCATAATAATGACAAAGCTAAAAGAATAAAGAAAGGAAACAGGTTAGAGTCTACTGTTCCTTTCCCCTGTTTTTCTCCAAAATGAGTAATCAATCCTTGATTGCTAAGGCAATGGTCTATAGTTCTATTACAAAAGTTACCGTGGTAACTACTACTCCAAAACAATTGAGCTGTTATCTGAAAAACCTTCTTCCCATAAATGTGGAGGAGGTTAAAACTTGGAGTTTTATTAGAATATTATTCTATATTTCTGAGTTTGACTTTGAAAATAGGAAGATATAGATATAGTGGGTTTAAGGTCCTTGTGATTAGCATCTTGATGGCCACCTTAAGTGACAACCTCCATTTTAAGGAAAAAGTTTCACTTTCCCACCCAACAGTGTTTCTGAGAAAGCCACTCCACTCATTCATATCAACCCAATCCTTAAAGCATAAGGACTTGCCCAGCTCTGATTCCTGAGCCTCCCTCATAAAAGTCCCAGAACTCAGCCTGTTTTGCCTCTCTCTCCTATAGAGAGATGGCCTTTATTTGTCAGCTCTGACAAATAAACTCTCCTGTGTATCTCTACTCTCCTGTGTATCTCTTTCATTTCTCTCTTATCCATCTCTCATTCCTTGCTTTTCCTTCAGTGGGTACATTCAATAACAAATAGTTCTACTTTAATATTAATCCACATTATTAAAGAAAATTTCTATAATATATTTTAGTAAATAATTTCTATAATATATTTTATTCTATAATATATTTCTCTCTTACCCATCTCTCGTTCCTTGATTTTCCTTCAGTGGGTACATTCAATAACAAATAGTTCTACTTTAATATTAATCCACATTATTAAAGAAAATTTCTATAATATATTTTACTGTACTATAAAATAGATTAATAAAAAATTATTTATTCTTGTATTTTCTCAGTTCTTAAGTGCTGACAGCTTGGTGAAGAGAAACTCCTTCCTTGTATAATCCATACCATTTTTTGCTGTGAGATAAGCAAAATAAAAAAGAACACCTTTAAGTCAGGAAGGTAGTTCTTATCATAGAGACAAGTCTTCAGCTAATCTCAGGACAACTTCTGTTTTGATTCTGTGACTTTAGAAATATTGAAGACAAGTCTGATTTTCCTTCTAACTAAAAATGACACTCTCCGCTATAGCAGCGTGCACCTGGCTTTGCAAAGTCTTCTCAGCTTTGTCCATGTTTATCTCCTCTCTGTTGATTATATAGAACCAGATTCTTGGTGCTAGAAGAAAAAAGAAAGAATAAGATGTGAGAATCATGAAGTTCCATTACAGAATATGAAGGACATCTAGAAAGAAATCCATGTGCAAAGTTGTCAGAAGAGTCCAAGCAGAACCTTTGCTACCCTTCCCCATAGACACTAGACACCTTCATTTCCAGTTTCTGGTACAGAGAACATAAATGTTTTCCTAGGGGGAAAAATAAAAAAAATAAACACATTCAAGTCATTACAGTCCCTTTGAGTGGGTGAAACTCCTGTACAGTCTTCTTCCAGGCATGAAAATCACAATAAGGCCATGAATTTCAATCACAACCATGACAGGCCTGCATATCAACCCTTTCTCATGGATAAAGACTTCTTTTCCTTGTCCTGTGCTTTTCAGAAGGAAGCCAGGCCAAGGAACAAATGGTGAGATTGATCTAAGAATGTTGGGCCCAGTATCTTCTGTTTTTCAGAACTGGGAGACAGGCCTTTGCTCATGTCTCCTCAGAAGTCATTAGTGGGACCCATTCTACTTCCTTTGTCTTTAACCCAGTGTTCATGCATAATTATGTGGTGCTGAGGATCAAACCTAATGTCTCACACATGAAAACAAACTCTCTACCAACTGAGCTACAACACCAGCCCCATGCATAATTTCTTTAGAAAGAAATCCTTCACCATAGGAGGTATTTCTCATGAGACTTCTCTGCTATTGTTCCCACCATTTCTTAAAACCCCAAATTTCCAATTTGGGGCATATTTACTTACCCCTGGGAACCTCGCCTCTTCTTCTAAGTCCAGTCCATAGCAGTTTCTATTTCAAATGAATTTCTTCCAGTGATAAAGATGATATACTGGTATTCATTGCTCTTTAGTTTGCCTGAGGACATTTTTGCTTTATAGCTTGATGTGGTCTACAAACTTGTTTTTTCTTCTGGGGAATATTATCTAAAGGGCTTCTCTAATCCTACTTGTGGTACAAGTGCTACTGTCCATATTGGTGCTGGTGGCCCTGGTGGTGGTGATCATGGTGCTGGGATGATGATAATAGTAGTCCTGTAGATGGTGGTGCTGTTGAAGGTGGAGCTGTTGACAGTGGTGTTAGCAGTACTGGTGCTATTATTTATGGTATTGATGGTTGTGGTGGTTATGGGCTAGTGATGGTGGTGCTAGCCATGTTGGTGATAATAGTGGTGATGCTGCTGCTAATGTGCTACTGGTGGTGCTGTCAATGGTGGTGATGACTATTGTGCTGGTGATAACATTGTTGATGTCAGTGATGGCTGAGGTGATGGTGCTGTTAACAATGATTATGATGTTGGTAATGGTACTGTTGATGGTAGTGCTATTGGTGGTGATGGTAGAGATGGCACTGCTATTGATGGTGCTGTTAACAGTGGCAATGGTTGTGATGGTCATGGTATGGTGGTGATGGTGCTGCAGATAGTACTGTTGATGGTGGTGCTGGTAGTGCCGGTGAAGGTGGTAATTGTAGTGGTGCTGTTGATGGTGGTGCTAATTATGATTGTAGTGGTGATACTCTTGATAGTAGTGATGGCTGTGATGATAAGATAGTGATGATGGTGCTTGTTGCTGCTGCTGTTGATGGTGATGTTATTGACAGTGGCAATGGTTGTAGTAGTCATAGTGGTGGCCATTGTTGTTGTATTGTTGATGGTAGTAATAATGGTGGTGCTGGGGCTTTTGATGGTGGTGATAGTTGTGCTGGTGGTCATGATGCTATCAATGGTTATTGTGAAAGAAGTCTCTTATGTGCCTAATTATGTTGTCACATTGGATACTTATGCCTTTTGTCCAGCTCTTTTTGACTTTGTTTTCCTCCTCTTCGTATACTTCTTTTTTTCTATTTCTGTTCTTACTTCTAAGCAAGTTAAGGGCTACATGAAAAGAATGGCAGCTAAATCCCTCTTTAATACCATTCTTCACATGGTCCTGTAGAATCTCCAAGGAGGGGAAAACTCGGCAGCAGGCCATGCACCTGTAGCCACTGTCATGGGCCACAAGCCATTCTGGTGTTTTAGCTCTGGAACTTGTCTCCAGAGGTGGAGGATATATCGGTCTGTCATTATCTTCTGATGCCTCTTGGACTACATCATCAAAGCTGAGATCACTCTCAGTTAGGAGTTCTTCTGTGGATACGACAGAGAGATTGTCTTCTGTATGGATTGTCTCAGGAAATGCAATGGTTTTCATTTTTGTCTTTTTGCATGGAGGCTGCCTTTCGTCTTCTGTATCCTCTAAGACAGCCACCCCCCTCTTCATTCTAACATGCATATAGTACACTTTCATTATTCTTTCCCTTTTCCTCTTCTTTGAGGATGTACAGGGATTATTGGCCAAGTAAATTGGTAATTCGTTATATGCCAATGACGAAGAATATTCTGATTCTTCCAACTTGCTTTCTACAGGCATACTATGTGATTCAGGATAGGAAACATATGAATATGATTCACTGGTTTCTAGAAAAAAAATCCAAATAAAAGAAAATAACATTACTATAAGAATGTTCTTGTATGTAGGCATGCGAAATGGGGGGTACATATATCAGTGATGCTTCAGAATTCTTTGTGTGTTATATGTCAACCCAAGTTTGTACATGTTACACCTGTGTGGAAAATGAGATTTTTGTAATAACATGTTGAATTATATTCTGGTAAATATCTGGTGATTATTTTTGATGTTGTCAAAAGGGGGTGGTGATGATTGTGTGTGTGTGTGTGTGTGCGCGTGCGTGTGCATGCTAAATGACAGTACAGAGTGTACATGGTCAGGTATGGGTTTTTGAATGGCTGAAAGCATATCTATCATTGGATATTTGTGTGAGAAAATTGGTATAAGAAAGTGCTTTATTTTCAAGACATATGAGTTTTCTTAACTTTCCTAGATATTGGTCTAGCATTGCAGAGTTAAAACAGGTTGTCTGGAAATATATGAAACATTTAATAAATTAAAATGTAAATCAATGAAATGAGAATGGTTGTATGGAAAAATGAGGGTGAAAGGAAGTATATAGGCAATGTTAATGGAGAATAGAAAAAAATGGGTAGAGAAAAAAAAGAGTATTGTATGCGAAAATAAGTAAAGGAAGAGGAGATGGGGCCAGCTTAGTATGAATATTTATAACATATGAGTATGTTTTAGTTGTGGCATCTGAGGGGGAAGTTTCTGATTAAATTACCATACACATCTCAGCACTATCCCATCTCACCCACTGCTACCCCAGTGTTCACATGCAGCATTGTGCTGAGGTTCTGATTCAGTCCTATTCTTGAAGGCACATTCCCCATTCGACCCTCCTCACAAGGCTTGGTGTTAGGTCCTTTGGAATGAATCCTTCTTTTGTATTTCGAAAGTAGTGAAGTGAGCAGTGTTGGACAAGCAACTGGGGTCCCTCTCTGATCTCAGATAACCTGGAATCTGTCTTACCCTGCTTATCATTAGGGGTCAGTGTGCTGTCAAAGGAGATGGAGGTCAAATAATCTGAGGAAGATGAATTATCTCCTGCTGCCTGATCCCTGACTGGTTCCAGCATATATGACTTAGGAACAATTTCTTGAAACTTCTGCAATCCTGGAAAACAAAATAACAAGAAACATTAAGACACGCCACAATCTAGGCTCTGTTTCATTCAGAAACAGATATGCTCAGTGAACAAGATATTTCAGGCATTGTTAACCGTCCATAAAACTAATTCTCACAATCAGTAAGATGGTTTTCCCCTTGAAATTTCCAAAACAAAAACAAACAATAGTTATTGACATTATGTGTGGTAGATATCATTGAAATTGGATATCCTGGATGTGATATTTTTGGAAATTAAAAAAAAATTAGTTGTAGATGGACACAATAACTTTATTTATTTTTATGTGGTGCTAAGGATTGAATATGTAATGCCTCATGCATACTAGGCAATTGCTCTACAACTGAGCTACAACTGCAACCCAATATTTTTGGAAATTTATACAGATTTTTGAAAACTAAACCATACATAAAATATGACATATACTCACTAGAAGTTATTATCATTATTATTATTATCTAAATTTCTCATTAGAAATTGTTCATTTATAGGACATGGAGTATGAATTTTAAAAACAACTATAATGACCTAGTTCATTTTTTCTATCTATCTATCTATCACCTACCTATCATCTATCTAAATATATATGTTCAGGGATACCAAGAGTTCAGGCCTCTGGCCCTGGAAGTCTCAAGAATCAGAAATTCTGATGAGCTGCCAGATGACTCCCTTTTCTCTTGGGTTACTGTATCAAAGCTGAACTCACTATAAGGAGTTCTTTTGTAGACATACAGGAGGGGTTATTCCTATTGGGATCTTCTTAAGAGAGGCAATTGTTTGCATTCTTGTCTTTTGGTGGGACAGTCTTTCCTCCTACTTTTGTATCCTATAGGCAGCCATTCTCCTTTTCTTTCAAATATACATGAACTAAATTTTCATGACTCTCCTTCTTCATATGCACTGAGGGTACGCATACCCAGATGCATTTGAAATTTGGCATGTGGAAAGGGGGATAAAGTCTCCAAGTCTTCCAAGTTCTTTACTAGAGCATCTCAGAGGGTAAAGTACATGGCACACTTTGATGATATTTATTGATTTCTAGGAAAAAAAATTGAATAGAATGAGATGACCTGTGTGTGGTCTGTGAAATGGGATTGTGTGTTTATGTGATTTTTGCAGAATTCTCTTTGTGGTATTTTTGTTATCTGGGACATTTTCTTGGTACACTGATATGGAAAATGAGATGGTGGTAGGTTTTTTGGAATCATGTCTGTTCTGGTATATAGCTGGTTAAGGTTATGGTGCTGGTGAAATGGGGATGTTGATGAGGGTATGTGGGTATGTACATGTTTTTGTGTGTTTTATGATTTGCAATACATAGTACATACGAACAGATGCAGGTCTATGAAGGGCTGAAAGCATGGTCATCAATGTACATTTCAAAGAGAAAATGTGCATATAAAAGGCCTTTTTTTTCTTGGGACATGAATTTTCCAGATTTTGATCTAGCATTACAGATATGAAACAAGTTATCTGTTTGAGGGGATGTGAGGTATTTATGCAATTAATGTTTAAACCAGTGAATCTCAGAATGATTATATGTGAGATTGAGGGTATACAGGAGTACTTATGTAATACTATCGGAGAATGTGAAAGATGGATAGAGAAAGAAGAAATTGCATGAGAGAACAAGCAAAATGAAGAAGAAATGAAGCCATGCTTAGTTAAAAGGAATAAATCATGTGAATTGTGCAATCTGAAAAGGAAGGTATGATGAAATTCCCATCCACGTTTTGTACTGTTTGCTCTCACCTAAAGCTGCCCCAGGGTTTACATGCAGTTTTGTGCTGAGGAACTTTGTCGTATTTTGAAGGCACATTTCTTATTTGCTCCTCTAAAGAGGTCTCAATGTTGAAGAGGCCTCCCTCTGCCCCTAATCCCTTTCCTATATTCAGAAGGATAGTGAAGTGAGGAAGAGTTGAACTAGTCTGAGTTCAGATCCCACATTTGCATCTGCCTTACCAAGCTCATCTGTAGGAATGTGTTTGCTGAGAGAAGAGAGACAGGTGAAATATTCTGAGAAAGATGAATTCTCTCCTGTTGTCTGAATCTTGGTGATGCTACATGGTGCAGGAGCAATTTCTTGACACTTCTTGAATTCTGGAAAATAATCACAACAACGAATATTGAAATATGGGATAATCTTGGTTCTGTGTCATCCATAAACAGATATATTCAGTGAATATTTTGTTTCAGTCTTTGTTATCACTACTGAAACTTCCTCTCAAATGAATTAAGGTGACTTTCCCATTGAAAATTCCAAAATGAAAGCAAACAACATTTATAAAATTTTTACATGGGGTAGGTGTCACTGTGGTAGAATATTTTTAATGTGATACTTTAGGAAATGTATACATATTATCAGAAACTGAACCATAGCCAAAATATTATATGCAATCACTAAAGATTGGGTATTATTATTAGCTGAATTTCTCCAAAGAAAATTGTACAAATAATGGTTATGAAGGAAAAGTTGTATAAAGAACCATTCATCTTGACATTTTTTATATCTAACTATATAGATATTTATAAATATGTATTAAGTATATGAGTATGCATGTTCATCCCAGGTCAGTAGCTTTCATGAGTTCTCACCCTAGAACTCTCATAGAGAGGAAGAAGTTGTCTGACTTCTTCATTTCTGCCAGGGTGCTGTGAACCATTCTGAACTCACTGTTCATTAGGAGATCTTTTGTAGGTACATGAGAGAGGTTTACCTCTGTAGGGATCTTGTCAGGAAAGATGATTGTTCCTATTTTTGCATACTTTGGAGGAATTTCCACCTTCTTCTGTTCCCCATAATTCAGAAACTCCCCCTTCAATTTTAACACACATATGCTAAGCTTTCACTATTCTTTCATTCTTCATATGCACTGAGATTTTACAGAACTCCTTGGCCCAAAAGCAGTGAAAATTTTGCATGTGAAAAGGGGGAGGAATTCTCCATTTCCTCTCAATAGTGTTCTAGATGCATCTTAGGGGAAAGAAGCCATGTAACAGAATGATGTAATTTGTCAGTTTCTTGGAAAGCAAATTTCAATATAATGAGACAAAATGACCTGTGTATAAGCATAAAAAAATGGGTGCATGTATCTGGAATGTTTTAGAATTCTGTCATGTCTTTCATCTGAGGTGTGTACATGGTACATGAGAGGGTGGAAGGTTTATGCAATTGTATGTATATTTTGTTACATTTCAGGTAAATACGTTTGGAGATAGTGATGAGTGTATGTTTGTGTGTCTATATGTATGGATGTATGATTGTGAATGTGTGTGATTATGTATGTGTGTGTGTGTGCATGTTTGCATTCTTCTTTATGAGAATACATAGTATACATACTTAGGAGGTGGTTTAAGAAGAACAGAAATCACCATCATCCATAGACATTTGGGTGAGAAAAATCTATGTATGAAAATGCTTCTTTTTCATGAAATACACATTTTCTAGTTCTTGGTTTACCATTACAAAATTAACATAAGTTATCTGTGTGGAGGGATTTGAAGCATTTATGGGATTAATCTAGAAAAAAGTGAATCTAGGAATGGTTGTTTGTAGGAAGAAAGGAGCAAGGGTTTACATAATTAATGGTACTAAAGGAAAGAGGGATGGGGAAAGAGGGAAAACTGAACTACAGAAAAAATGCAAGGAAGGAGAAGTGTGGCCATACATAGTTTGAAGTGTAACATTAGTGTGTGAGCTGAGCTGTAGTTTTGCCATCTGAGGGGGGAGATTTTTGTATCTGTCTTACCACACTCCTCAGGAGGAATGAGTTTGCTGGAAGTGGAGAGACAGGTGAAATATTTTGAATCACATGAATTCTCTTCTGCTGCCTGAGTTCTGGTTGCTTCCAGTATAAATGGTTCAGTAGCAATGCCTTTCCTTTTCTGGAAATCTGGAGGATGAAAAAAACAAGAAATACTGACTCATAGCATAATGCAGGTTCTGTGTTATTCAAAAATAAATACAATAAGTGGATATTTTTTCAGGTGTTGTTACCACCATGAATGCTAATTATGATATGTTTACCATTCAAAATTTTGAAACAAATAGTATTTATTAATAGTGTGTGTGTTAAATGTCACTGTGATTGGAAATCTTGAATGTGATATTTTTTAAAAATTCACATAATATTGGAAACCAAACCTTATCACAAATATAGTAAGTAGTCATTAAGTTTATTAATTAACTATTTCTGTTATGTTATCAATATACATAAACATATATTATGTATATGTGTGTGTATGTATGCATATATATGTACAATATCTGAGTTCATATGTCCATGGCTGGCAGCTATTCGGGCTTTATCCCTGGAACTCTCCTCCAATGAGTGAGTTTTACTGGGCTTTCAACCTCCCTTCCTCTTAGACCACATTGTCCAAGCTGAATGCACTGTCAATTTGGGGATGTTTACAAAAGTAAACACATGTGAGAGGTTTACCTCTTCAGGTGTCTTCACATGAAAGTTGATTGTTTATATTCATGCCTTTTGTACTCTTGCCTTCTCTAATCCATGACACAGAAACCTTATTTTCATTTGAATATTCATATACTACACCTTTATGACTCTTTCTTTGTTCATATGCACTGAGGATGTACAGGGCGCCTTGGCCAATAACATTGAAAACCAGAAATGTGGAAAGGTAGAGGAAATCTCCATTTGCTCCAACTATTGAAAAAGGTTATCTCAGGGGATAGAAGACATGTAAAACATTGATATACTTTATAAATATCTGGGAAGAAAATTTCAGATATAAGGAGATAAATTGCCTGTGATTAGGCATTAAAAACGGGGGTACATGCATATGAAAATTCTCTTTTATTTGAGGTGTGTACATTGTACATCTCTGGACAATGAGATGGTGGTAGGCTTCATGAAATTATATGTATGTTTTATTATGAATAAATTCAGTGCTACAAAAGAGGGATGTTGATGAGTGAATGTGTGTGTTGATGAGTGAGTGTGTGTGTATAGAGAGATATGTACTTTTTTGTGTATGAGTGTAATTATGTGTGTGTTATAACACATGTGTTTCTGTTTTCTATTATGAGAGTACAAAATACATGTAAGTGTGTGCTGGTCTACAAAACACAGAAATACTCATCAAGTATGGACATTTGGGTGATAATATCTACATATGAAAATGCTACTTTTTAAGGACAAACTTTTTCTAGTTCTTGGCCTAGCATTGCAAGATTAAAACAAGTTATCTGGGTGAAGGGATGTGGTGCATTTATTGGATTAATGTGGAAAGCAATGAATATAACACTGATTATTTGTAAGAATGATTGGCCATGAGAGCACCACTATAATGGTAATAGAGGAAAGATGGATGGACAAAAGAGGGAAAACTGTACTATAGAATAAGTAAAGGAAGGAGAAATGGGGACATATCTAGTATGAAGGTTTCTAGCAGGTTATTTTGTGAGGTTTAGTTGTGCTGTCTAACGGGAAAGTTTCTGAACAAATTCCCACACACCTCAGCATGTTTCATTTCCCCCACAAGTGCCCCAATGTTCACATGCAGGACTGTGCTGAAGAACTCTGTCATATTTTGAAGGCACATTCACTCTTTGTTTCTCACAAGAGGCCTCAGAGTATTAATGCCTCTGCCCTGAATCCCTTCCCCCATATTCAGAAGAATAGGAAAGTGAGCAAGGGTTGGACTAGCACTTCAGCAGTACCTCCTGCCTGAGGCTCAACCCCACCTTTCCATCTGTCTTACCATACTCATCAGTAGGAAGGGTTTTGCTCGGAGGGGAGAGACAGCTGAAATATTCTGAATCAGATGAATTCTCTCCTGCCGCTTCCAGCATATATGGTGCGATGGCAGACTCTTTCCAGTACTGAAAATCTGGAGAATATAACAACAGCAAATACTGAGGTATGGCAAAATCTGAAATCTGTGTCATTAAAACATACATCGAGTGGATATTTTATTGTTATTGATATTGTTACCACCGTGAAACTTTCTCACATGGTAATTATGAAGTTCCCATTCAAAATTTCAAAATAATAAGTAGCTACAAAACAGTGGGCCACGTTTGGTGGCACACACCTATAATCCCAGTGGCTCGGGAGGCTGAGGCAGGAGGGTCGCAAGTCCAAAGCCAGCCTCAGCAAAAGTGCAGTGCTAAGCAACTCAATGAGACCCTGTCTCTAAATAAAATACAAAATATGGCTAGGGATATGGCTCAGTGGTCAAGTGACCCTGAGAGTTCAATGTCTGCTACCAAAAAACAAAACCAAACAAAAGAAAAACAAATAAAAGTGGTTTGTGTGTTATTATAAAAAGTGGTTTCTTCATTACTTATAAAAAAAAAGTAGTTTGTGTGTTAGATATCACTATTTGGAAATCTTGAATATGATATGTTTGGTAAAGTATACAGACTGTTGGAAAATGAACACTATCACAAATGTGATACATAATAAAGAGAGTGTGGGTGTTATTGTTAGCAAATTTCCCTCTTGACAAACTGGGCAAATAATAGATATGGAGTAAAAGTTTATAAATTTACTACTTTGGTTATGTAATCAATATACATGAATATATGGATATTTTTATATGTACATACATAATATCTAAATTCATATGTCCAATGCCATCAACCATTCAGGCTTTTGCCTTGGGTCTCTGAACTCCACTGGAGGAATTTCTGCTGGGCTTTAAGCTTCCTTTCCTCTTGGGCCACTTTGTCCAAGCTGAAATCACTGTCACTAGTTGTTTTGTAGACACATATGAGAGTGTGTACCTCTGCTGTTGTCTTTTCAGGAAAGGCGCTTGTTCGCACTCTTGCCTTTTGGGGAACTTCCTCCCTCTTTTGTAACCAATAACACAGAAACCCTAATTTCACTTAACATACATACTCTACATTTTCAGGACTCTTTCCTTCTTCATATGCACTGACAAAATACACAACTCCTTCCTCAAGGTCATTGAAAATTAGAAATGTGGGTAGGTGAAGTAGTCTCCATTTGTGCCAAATATTGTAAAAAGGGCATCTTGGAGAATAAATGACATACAAAACATTGATGTAATTTATCAATTTCCGGGAAGAAAATTTCAAATATAAGGAATTAAAATGGCCTGTGATTCTGCATGAAAAATGGGGGTGCATGTATCTGGGAATTATCTGTCTTGTCCCTTTTATTTGAGATGTGTACATGGTATATTCTATGGAAAATGAGATGTTGGTAGTTTTGTGCAATTATATGTTTGTTTGTTACTTATCAGGTGAATATGTTTGGCGTTAGTAAAGAGGGATGGTTTGGAGTGAATGCGTTCGTGTGTGTGTGTGTGTGTGTGTGTATGCTTGTATATATGTGATTATGTTGGTATGTTTTAGTGCCTGATCTTGCCATTTTCCATTGTGAGAGCGCAGTACATATAAGTAGGTGCTGCTCTATGAAAGAAATCATCATCATGCACAGACTCTTAAGTGAGAAAATCTATATATGAAAATGCTTTTTTTTTTAAGGTATAGCCAATTTTCAGGTCTTGGTCTAGGATTACAAATTTAACACAAGTTATCTATGTGAAGCATTTATGGGATTAAAAAAAATTGTCCAAAGCAGAGAATCTAAGAATGATTGTTTTTAGGCATGAGAATGTACCTCTATAATGTAAGAGAGGAAAGATGAATGGAGAAAAAGAGGACTACTGAACAAGGGAAGAAGTACAAGGAAGGAGAAGTTGGGCAATACCTAGTATGATGGTTTCTAACACATGAGTGTGTGAGCTTTAATTGTGCCATCTAAGGAGAAACTTTCTGATCAAATTCCCATACACAGTTTAGCATGCCTCTGTCTCTCCCACAGCCTTCCCAGTGTTCAAATGCAGTTTTGTGCTGAGGAACTTTTTCTTATTTTGAGAGCACATTCCCTGTGTGCCTTCTAAAGAGGCCTCAGTGTTAGTGCCTCTGCCCTCAATACCTTCCCCCTATTAAAAAGAATAGAAAAGTCAACAGGGGTTGGACTAGCACCTCAGCTGTACCTGTTGTCTGAGCTCAATCCCACATTGGTATCTGTCTTACCATGCTCCTCAGCTGGAATGACTTTGCTGAAAGTAGAAAAACAGGTGAAATATTCTGAATCAGATGAATGATCTCCTGCTTTCAGATTCCTGGCTGTTTCTAGCATGTATCGTTTAATAGCAATCTGTTTCCACTTTTGGAAATCTGGAAAATGAAGCAACAACAATAAATATTGAGGCATAGCATAATCTTGGATCTGTGTCATTCAAAAATAGATATATTGAGTGGATGGATATTTTGTTCAGATACTTTTACCACCATGAAATATTCGCATGATAAATTATGATGGGTTTACTATTAAAAATTTTTAAATAAATGTAGCTATCAGAATTAGTTATTAGATGTCACTGTGATTCCAAATCTTGAATGTGATATTTTTAGAAAAGTATACAGAATATTGGAAACTGAACCTTATAAAAAATGTGATATGCAATCAATAAAGTATGAGTGGTATTTTTTTTCAGCTAATTTACTACTTGAAAAATTGGGCAAATGTAGATATGGAATAAAAGTTTGCTACTTAGGTATTCTGTTATGCTATCCATATACATAAGTATATAGATATGTTTATATGTCCATGTAAGGTATCTAAGTTCATACGTCCACAACCAGCATTCAGGCTTTTCCCCAGAACTCTTCTCTATTGGGTAAGTTCTTTTGGGCTCTCAGCCTCCTTTCAACTTGAGTACACTGTCAAAGCTGAACTCACTGTCAGAGAAATACTGTTTTGTAGACACATGAGAAGTTTACTTCTGCAGGTGTCTTCTTAGGAAATGCAGTCATTTGCATTCTTGACTTTTGGGGTGAAATTCTTCCCTATTCTGTAACCCATACCACAGAAACTCCACTTTCATTTGAACATACATATACTACACTTTAATGACTCTTTTCTTCTTCACATGCACTGACAATGTACAAGGATCTTTGTCCAAGGGCACTGAATATTAGAAATGTGGGTGGAGGAGGAAATCTACATTTCCTGCAATATTCTATAAAGTACATTTCAGAAGATTGATGACACATAAAACAGTGATATAATTTATCAATTTCTGGGAAGAAAATGTCAAATATAAGGAGATAAGGTATCCTATATTTGGACATGAAAATGGGAGTGTGCAAGTTTCTGGGAATTCACCTTTTATCTGAGGTGTGTACATGGTACATCTATATGGAAATGAGATGGTGGTATTGTGCAATTATATGTATGTTTTGTTACATATCACGTGAAGCTGCTGGTAAAGAGGATGGTGGTGAGTGTATACGTACATGTATGTGTGTCTGTGAGTGCCCTGTGCTTATTTGTGTGTATGTGTTTGAGCATGTGTGATTGCATTTTCCATTATGAGAGCACATAGTATATATAAGTGTGTGCTTGTTCATGATGGACAGTAATCAGCCATCATTATAGACATTTGGGTGAGAAAATCCACATAGGAAAATGCTTCTTTCTCAGGACATGCACATTTTCAAGGTCTTCATCCAGCATCACAAGGTTATCACAAGTTATCTGGGTGAGGGGATGTGAAGCATTTATGGGATTAATTTGTAAACAGTGAATCTAAGAATGGTTGTAAGAATAAGGGGACAATGGAGTACCTCTGTATTGGTAATATAGGAAAATAGGCTGGAAAAACAGGACAAATGAATGAGAGAATAAGTACCAAGGAGGAAAATTGGGACTATACCTAGTTTGAAAGTGTGTAACACATGAGTGTGTGAGCTTTAGTGGTGCCATCTGAAAGGGATATTTCTGATCAAGTTCCCCTACACATCTTAGCATGTCCCAAGTCTCCCCCACAGCTGCCCCAGTGTTCACATGCAAGTTTGTGCTGAGGAACTTTTCCCTATTTTGAAGGACATTACCTATTTGCTCCCCACAAGAAGCCTCAGTATTAGTGCCACTTTCTGGATTCACAGAGAAGCAAGCAAGGGTTGGACTAGAACCTCAGCTCTACCTCCTGCCTGAGCTCAATTCCACCTTTGCATCTGTCTTACCATGCTCCTCAGTAGGAAGGAGTTTGCTGGAAGTGGAGACACAGGTGAAATATTCTGAATCAGATGAATTCACTACTGCTGCCTGAGATCTGGCTGCTTCCAGCATGTGTTTTTTGGTAACAATGCCTTTGCACTTCTGGAAATCTGGAGAATGAAACAACAGCAAATACTGAGGCATAACATAATTTGGCTTCTATGTTATTCAAAAACAGATATATTGAGTGAATATTTTGTTTCAGGTATTATTACCACCATGAAACATGCACTTAGCTAATTATGATATGTTTATCATTAAAAATTTTGAAATAAACAGTAGTTGTTAAAATGGTTTGTGTGTTAGATGCCACTGTGATTGAAAATCATGAATGTGATCTTTTTGGAAAATACACAGAATATAGGAAACTGAACCTTATCACGAATACGATAGTCATTACATTATGGTGTTATTATTTTCATATAATTTCCTTTGTGAAAAATTGGGCAAATAGTGTATATGAAGTAAAGTGCATTAAGCAACAATTTCTGTTAAGTTATAAATATACATAAACAGATACGTTTATATGTCCATGTACAAAATCTAAGTTAATATGTTCATATTCGGCAGCCATTCAGGTTTTTCCCTGGAACTCTTCACCATTGGATGAATTCTGCTGAGCTCTCAGCCTCCCTTCCTCTTGGGTCACATTGTCCAAGCTGAATCACTGTCATTTAGGGGCTCTTTTGTAGACATATGTGAGAGGTTGACCTTTAGAGGTGTCTTTTCTCAGGAAAGGTGATTTTTTTGTATTCATGCCTTTTTTATTTTTGCCTTCTGTAACTCATAACACAGAAACCCTACTACTTTCATTTGTACATCCATATACTACACTTTCATCACTCTTGCCTTCTTCATATGCACTGAGGATGTACAGGGGTCCTTGTCCAAGAGCTTTGAAAACTGGAAATGTGGAAAGCAGGAGGGAGTCTCCATTTCCTCTAAATATTCTACAAAGGTCATCTCAGAGGAGAGAAGAGGATCTTCTGTCATCTCAGAGGATACAACACTAATGTGATTTATCTATTTCTGTGAAGTAATTCTCAATTATAAGGATATAAGATATACAGTAACTGGGGATGAGAAGTGAGAGCATTCTTTTTTTTTTTACTTTTTATTGGAGGTGAGTACATGGTACATCTCTATGGAAAATGAGATGGTGGTAGGTTTTATGCAATTATATGTATCTTTTGTTATATATCAGGTGAATATATTTGGTACTGATAAAGTAGAGGGATGATAAGTGAATGTGTGTGTGTGTGTGTGTTTGTATATGTCCTCGTTTGTGTGTATGCATTTAATTTTGCATGTATGTCTTAGCACACATGTTTGCATTTTCCATTAGGAGAATACACACTACATATAAGTGTGTGCAGATCTACTAAAGAAAGAAATAACCAACATCCACAGACATTTAGATGAGAAAATCTAAATATGAAAAGGCTTCTTTTAAAGAAAATATACATTTTCTAGGTCCAATTTAGCATTATAAAGTTAACACAAGTTATCTACGTGAAGCCATATGAAGCATTTATGGGATTAATGTGGAAAACAGAGAATCTAAGAATCATTGTTTGTAGGAATGAGGGGAAAAGGTTGTACAGTTCTGTAATGGTAATAGAGGAAAGATGAATGGAGAAAGAAGGGACTACTGAATGAGAAAATAAGTATAAGGAAGGAGAAATTGGGCAAAACCTAGTATAATGGTTTCTAACACATGAGTGTGTGAACTTGAGTTGTGCCTCTAAGGGAGAAGTTTCTGATCAAATGCCCACATACATTGAACATCTCCCTTGTCTCCCCCACAGCTGCCCCAGTATTCATATGCAGGCCTGTGCTGAGGAACTTTGCCCTATTTTGAGGGACATTCACTATTCACACTTCACAAGAGGCCTCAATATTGGTGCCTGTGCCTTGAGTCCCTCCCTGCTATTCAAAAGAATAGAGAAGTGAGCAAGGGTTGGACTAGTATCTCAGCTGTACCTCTTGTCTGAGCTCAACCCCACTTTTGCATCTGCCTTACCATGCTCCTCAATGGGATGGGGTTTGCTGGTAGTGGAGAGAAAGGTGACATATTCTGAATCAAATGAATTCTCTCCTGCTGCCTGAGTACTGGCTGCTTCCAGCATACATGGTTCAATAGATGACTCTTTCCAGTTCTGGAAATCTGGAGAGTGAAACAACAATAAGTTCTGTGTCATTCAAAAATAAATATACTGTGTGGATATTTTATTTCAGATATTGTTACCACCATGAAATTTTCTCTCATGCTAATTACCATTAGTTTACCATTCAAAATTTTTAAATAAATAGTAGTTGTTAAAATGGTGTGTGTGTTAGAGTACAATGTGATTGGAAATCTTAGTTGTGAAATTTTTAGAAAAATATACAGAAATTGGAAACGGAATCTTATAAAAAATGTAATATGTAATCAAAAATGTATGGGTGTTATTGTTTTGTTTTTGTTAATTTCCTTCTTGATAATTTGGGCAAATATAGATATGTAGTAAAAGATTATTATTTAACTATTTTTGTCATATATCAATACACATAAATATGTAAATATGTTTGTATGTACATGTTACAATATCTAAGTTCATGTGTCCATGGCATCAGCCATTCAGCTTTTTGCACTGGGACTTTCCTTCATTAGGTGAAGTTCTGCTGGGCTCTCAGCCTGTCTTCCATTTGGACTTCATTGTCCAAGCTGAACTCACTCTCAGAGGTTCTTTTGTAAACACATGAGAAGGGTTTACCTCTGCAGGTATCTTCTCAGGAAAAGCAGTTGTGTTCTTGCCTTTGGGTAGAACATTCTCCCACTTCTGTAGCCCGTTAAGACAGACACCCTACTTTCATTTGAACATACTTATACTACACATTCATTTTCATGACTCTTTCCTTCTTCATATGTCCTGATGATGTACACGGATCTTTCACCAAAGGCATTGAATATTAAAAATGTGGGTCGGAGAAAAAAATCTTCATTTCCTCCACATATTGTACAAGGTGATCTCAGAGGATAGATCAACTATAACACATTGATGCAATTTATCAATTGCTTGGAAAGTATACTTCAAATATAAGGTATAACACAGGCTGTGATCAGGCTTGAAAATTTGTGGTGCCTGTATCTTGGAATTCTCTGTTTTGTATTTTATGAGGTGTGTACATGGTACATCTCCATGGAAAATGAGATGGTGGTAGATTATCTGCAACTATAGGTATGTTTTGTTATATATCAGATATATATGTTTGGTTCTTGTTAAGAGGGATGGTGATGAATTTATGTTTGTGTGTACTTGTGATGATGTGTACTTCTGTTAGTATTTTTATGATTGCATTTGAGTACATGTTTATGCTTTCCAATATGAGGTACATAGTGCTGATCTAAAAAGAATAGAAACATGTTCACCCATGGACATTTGGGTGAGAAAATCTATATTTGAATATACTTTTTTTTCAGGACATAGAAATTTTGTACCTCTTGGTACAAAACATAGATAACTATATAGCATTATGAATTTAACACAAGTTATTTGTGTGAAGGCATGCTAAGCATTTATGAGATTAATGTGGAAAGTAGTGAATATAAGAATGGTTGTGTATAGGAATGAGGGAGTGGGGGAATACCTGTGTTATGGTAATAGAGGAAAGGCGAATGGAGAAAGGGGATTATTAAACAAGAGAAGTATAACAATGGAGAAATGAGGCCATATTTGAAGGTTTCTAGTATGTGAGTATGTCTTGAGCTTTAATAGTGTCATCTGAGGAGCAAGTTTCTGAACAAATTTCCATGCACCTTTTACCATGTTGCCTGTTTCCCTTACACCTGCATGGTTGTGTTGAGGAATTTTTTCCTATCTTGAAGGATATTCACTATTTGCTCCTCTCAAGAGACTTCGGTGTCAGTGTCTCTGCCCTGAATCCCTTCCCCCCATTCAAAATAGAGAAGCAAGCAAAGATTGGACTAGCACCTCAACTGTACCACTTACCTGAGCTCAACCCCACCTTTGCATCTGTCTTACCATGCTTCTCAGGAGGAAGGATTTCGCTGGTAGTAGAGAGACAGCTGACATATTTTGAATCAGATGAGTTCCCTCCTGCTGCCTGAATCTTGGATGCTTCCAGCATGTATGGTTCACTAGCAATGTCTTTCCACTTCTGGAAATCTGGAGAATGAAACAACAGCAACAATTACAAATACTGAGGCATAGAATAATCTGGGTTCTGGGTCATCCAAAAGGAGACATATTGAGTGGATATTTTATTTCAGGTATTATTAACCACCATGAAACATTCTCTTATGTTGAGTTTACTATTGAAATTTTAAAAATATTTAGTTGTTATTAAAATAGCATGTGTTAGTTGTTACTGTAATTGGAAATCTTAATTGTGATAGTTTTAGAAAAGTATACAGAATGTTGGAAACAATTTTATCACAAATGTGATATATAGTCAACAAAGTATAGGTTTTATCTTTGTCACCTAATTTCTATCTTTATAAATTGGGCAAATAATGGATATGGAGTAAAGTTTCTTAACTAATTCTGTTGTGCTATCAACATAGACAACTACATAGATATGTTTATATGTATATGTACAACATCTAGGTTCATATGTCTATGGCCTGCAGACATTTGGGCCTTTTCCCCTAGGATTGTCTTTGATTGAGTAAGTCCCTTTGTGCTCTCAGCCTCCCTTCCTCTTGGTCACATTGTCCAAGCTGAAATTACTGTCAGTTTAGGGTTCTTTGGTAGACACATGTTGGGAAGTTTACCTCTGTAGGTGTCTTTCTCAGGAAAAGTGATTTTTTTTTATTCATGCATTTTTTTTTATTTTTGCCTTCAGTAACATAACACAGAAACTCTACTTTCATTTGAACATACATAAATGACACTTTCCTGTCTCCTTCCTTGTTCATATGCATTGGGGATGTACAGCTCTCCTTGGCCAAGACATTGAAAATCAGAAATGTGGAAAGGGGGAATAAGTCTCCATTTCCTCCAAATACTGTACAAAAGGCATCTCAAAGGATAGAAGGCTTTTAAAATATTGATATAATTTATAAATTTCTGGGATATAGGACATAAAATAACCTGTGTTTGGGCATGAAAATATAGGGGTGCATGTATCTGAGAATGTTCTGTTCTGTACCTTTTATCTGAGGTGTGTACATATTTATGAAAAATGATAATATGGTGGTAGGCTTTGTGTAAATATGTATGTTTTATTACAAATCAGGTGAATAAATTAGGTGCTGGAAAAGAGGGATGGTGATAAGTCAATGTGTATGTATGTGTGTGTGTATTTGTGTGTATGTGTGTGATTATGTGTGTATGTTTGAGCATGTGTGTTTGCATTTCCCATTATGAGAGAATATACTATATATATATATATTTGGGCTGGTATATGAAGAGCAGAAATCGGCATCATCCATAGATATTTGGGTGAAAAACTATATATTAAAATGCTTCTTTTTAGGACATATAAGTTTTCTAGGTCTTGGTCTGGCATTGAAGGAAGGAGTCACACAAGTTATCTGTGTGAAGGGATGTGAAGCATCAATAGGATTGATGTCTAAATCACTGAACTCATGAATTTTTTTTTTTTAGAAATAAGGAGGCAAATGCATACCTAAATAAGGGTAATAGAGTAAAAGATGAGTGCAGAAAGAGGGGACTATTGAAGGGGAGAACAAAGAAGGAGATATTGGACCATACCTATTTGAAAGTTGTGAACATATGAGTGTGTGAGCTTTATTTGAGCCATCTGAGGGGAAAGTTTCTAGACAAATTCCCATTTACCACTTAGCATGTCCCCTGCCTCCATCACAGCTGACCCTGTGTTCACATGCAGGTCTGTGTTGAAGAACTTTTTCTTGTTTTGAAATATCATCTCTATTTGCTCCTCCCAAGAGGTCTTAGTTGTCAGTGCCTCTGCCCTGAATCCTTTCCCCCATATTCAAAAGAATAGAGAAGTGAGCTAGAGTTGGACTAGCACCTCAGGTATATCTCCTGCCTGAGCTCAACCTCACTTTTGCATCCAGTCTTACCATGCTCCTCAGTAGGAAGGAGTTTAGTGGTAGTGGATAGACAGCTGAAATATTTTGAATCAGATGAATTTTGTCCTGCTGCCTGAGTCCTGGCTGCTTCTAGCTCGTATTTTTCAATAGCAATGCCTTTCCACTTCTGGAAATCTGGAGAATGAAACAACAGCAACAACTACAAATACTGAGGCATAACATAATCTGAGTTCTGTGTCATCCAAAAATAGATATATTGAGGAGTGGATATTTTGTTTCAGGTTTTGTTACCACCATGAAGATTCTCATGCTAATTATGATGAGCTTACCGGGTGTTTTAGCATGCTCATCAGTAGGAATGTGCTTGCTTTCTGAGAAGATATATTTGGAATCTTCTTCAGATGTTGAAGTTTCTCCTCCTACCTGAATCCAGTTCATCCTACATGGGGCAGGAGCAACCTGTTGGAATATCTGGAACCCTGAAAATGTAGCAATATCAACAATCATTGAGATATAGCACAATATGTGCTCTATATCATTCCAAAACAGATATGTTTTGTGACTATTTTATTTCAGGCATTACTACGCTTGGAACTTCCTCTCTCTCTCTAATTACAATGACTTTCCCATTCAAAATTTCAAAGTAAAGGTAAACAACAATTATTGTAATCATGGATGAAGTAGATTTTCTGTGATAGAATATCTTGAATGTTATATTTTAAGAAATGTACATAGATTATTGGAAACTGAATCATAACTAAAATGTGATGTTCAATCACTAAAGGATGGATATTAATGTTAGTTGAATTTCTCCATGAGAAATTGTGCAAATAAAATATTTGTAGAATGCTTATGGAGAGCCGTTCATTGTGACCTGTTTATTATATATATATATTTATGTATATATTCATAAATATAATAGATATATTTGAACTATATTATAAATATATTTACAAATATTATATATATTACAAACATATACATTCATATATTTACAAATATCTTATATGTAAATATATATTTATATATCTACAAATACATTTATTATATGTACATTACATATACATATTTACAAATATATTTACCAATGCATTTACTATATATACATCATATATAAGTTACAAATATATTTATATATATTGATATAAATATACAATAGTAATTATATATAGTAAATATATATTAATACAATATAAATATACAATAGTAATAAATATATAAAATATATATTTATTACTATTGTAATGAATAAATGAATATATATATATATATATATATATATATATATATATATATATATATATATATCTCCAAGACCAGTAGCCATTTATATATTCCCGACCCAGAACTCTCATCCAGAGGCAGGAGTCTGCTGGGTTCTCAGCTTCCTCCCTTTCATCCAGGCTTTTCTATTCACTGTGAACTCACTGTCCATTAGGAGCTCTTTTTTAGGCACTTGAGAGATGTTGAACTCTGTAGGGATCTTCTCAGAAAAGGTGATTGTATTTTGCCTTGTTTCAAAGGCTTGCCTCCCTCTCTGTATGCCCTAACACACGATTTTTGTTCAATTTGGAAGGCACATTCTCTATTTTTTCCTCTCAATGGGCCTCAGTACTAGTCCCTCTGCCTTGAATCCCTCTTTTATATTTCAAAGATCAGTGAAGTGAGTAAGGGTTGTACTAGCACCTCAACTGTACCATTTGCTTGAGCTCAGATCCCACTTTCGCATCTGCCTTACCATGCTTGCCAGTAGGAATAAGCTTCCTGGTGGGGGGTGCATAGGTGAAATATTCTGAGGCTAATGAATTTCCTCCTGATGGATGAGTCCGGTCTGGGACCGCTGCACATGGTACAGGAACAACCTCTTTAAACTTCTGAAACTCTGGTTAGAATGAAAAAAAAAAAGCAATAAACATTGAGATACAGCAATTATCTGGGCTCTGTGTCATTCAAAAACAGATGTGTTGGAGCTGGGGATGTGGCTCAAGCGGTAGAGCGCTCACCTGGCATGTGCAGGGCACTGGGTTCGATCCTCAGCACCACATAAAAAAGTAAAATAAAGATGTTGTGTCTACCAAAAACTAAAAAATATATATTAAAAAATTCTCTCTCTCTCTCTCTTTAAAAAAAACAGATGTGATTGGATATTTTTTCAGACATTATATGTGTGTGTGTGTGTGTGTGTGTATACATATATAGAGAGTGTGAACGGAGGGGAATTATATAAATAATCAAACAATTGTCTTTCAGAGAGATCTTTACATTGTTTAAACTCTCTCATGTGTCTACAAAAGAACTCCTAAATGACATGAGAAGATTTTGGACAGAATAGCCCAAGAGAAAAAAGTTTTCCTGTCAACCCAGGCAAACTTCTCCCATTGAAGAAGAGTACCAGGGCCAGAACACCTAAATTGGCTGCTGGCCCTGGATATGTATATTTACATCCATATTTGTCTATTCATGTATATATGAATAGGTCAACATAATTTTTAATTAAATATGTTTGTGTGTGTGTGTGTTTGCACACATATATGGAGCGAGAGAGTGATGGACAGTGGTACAGATAGATAATTTCTAGCTCCCCAAAATGATAAAAATTCTTTGAGAATTCCTTAAGAAGTGGGCATGGTTCTATTAAATCTGTTAAACATTCAGACCCGCCTCTCCTCTACCTCATACCTCTGTTAGTGACTTTATCTGATGAAAAGGTGCTGCAGATATTTTCAGGGGTAGAGTCCTGTGTTGTGTACCTGTGATCTTGGGTCAGCCCTGAAGGTCCCAACATTGCAGTTGATTTTTCTGAATCTAACATTATTGAACAAAAGAGGGAGAATCAAATATATGACATTATTTTAGATTAAACAATCATTCAAAAACTACTACGTAAAATAACACATATTTTGTTTGTCATCATGAAGATTATATTTAACTTGCTTTTTAAGTTTCCAAAATCTATGTATTAAAAATGTTTATTGGATTGATATATCTTTGTGGGGCTGCATTACTCAGAATTAGCATGTGCTTTTGTAAGTGTATCAGAGACTCAAAATCTTTCCTGGCATATAGGAAGTCACCTTTATTATTTGTTTGGACGTCTTTACTCATCTTAAAAATGAATTTGACTCTGGTATGCAGGTAAAATGTTTTCGCTTGTCACCTCTAGATTACCATATAAAACTTCTGCATCTTCATTCAAGAGTTAGAATTTGTAGGAAAGAATCCAGTGATTCCAACTTTTGTCCCACCTCATCTCTTCCAAAGAAGTGCTCCTTGTGGCTGCTGTTGGCAGGGCTTCTGAAGCACAAGGGCCTGGTGAGGGGTGATGAGTTCTTCGCTTAACAGGAGATTCTGTGGGTTTCTCTACAACTGGCTCCAGACTGAACCTCCAGTCTGGAGTGCCTATGTATTCTCAAGTGTCACAGCAACTCCTTGGCCTTGTCACTGGTATGGCACATTCTCAGACTCACACAGTGTCCCCCTGCCCACACAGGGTTCTAAGTTTTTCATCTCTTGTCATCATATCAGATCTGATCTTAGAATATTACCAATTTAAGAGTACATTCTGAGTCGCTGGGTTTTTTCCCTTGCATACTCTGTCCTGTTCAAACAACTTTACCTCTACCATGAATTTAAAATATATTATAAAACTTCCTAATTTCACTTATTTCCTTTTCCTCTGTATTTCCAATGGAAAGGGCCATACCTTTGAATTCACAAGCTTTATTAAATAGCAAAATTTTAATTCTTAATAAATGAACTCATAAGCACATAAGTCCTTTCCTTTGTCAATAAGTTTCCATTTGTTAAGCAAATTTTTACTCTCAAATTGCATCATTTATTTTTTACATCACTGGAGAGTGTCATGTGTATGATTTTGGTGTAGAGATGACAAAATATATCGTTTGTGGTATAACTTTTTTAGAAAGTATGCATGTTTGTGAATGTCTCTGGCATATGTATGTCTGTGTATAGGCTATTGTTTTTACCATATTTATGAGTGAGTGTATGACTGAGGTTTTCTTGTGTTTGAATACAGTGTGAGTATATATCTGGGAGACATTGTGGCATTGTTTGGTACCTGTATATTTCCTCTTGCATGGACTGTTATCTGTAAACTATGGACTCTTGAAGGACAAGCAGTTACACTGTAGCTATTAGGTTTGAATGAGACTGTGACCTTATTCATTTTGGAAGATCTGCAAAGACTATCAGAATGTTATTGAATGAGTGTGACTCATGGATAGGAGGTAGATGATGTGAGATTCTAGATAGTGGATTATGTAATCTGGAATAGAGAGAGGAGTTTGAAAGAGGGAAAATGGTTTTGATAATGTCATGCATTATTAATTGGACTACACCATTCGACATTCTACTAAAGTAGGGTTATTTCTATGAGTTGAATGAAGATTGTGTCATTCAAAGCATGAGGTTAGAAGAAAGAAGATTTGAGGAATGCCTGCACTGTGGAATGTGAATAGAAAGATTTAATCTGTGAGGGTATGAGTTTATGTGTATGTATGAGGGTCTAAGGAAAAGGGAGTAAGGAATGGAGAATGAAGGAGTACATGTTTATAGAGATAAATTTGAGAACCTATCATGTTAAGACTAGGTGGGTGAGGTAAAACTTCATCTTTTTTTTTTTTTTTAAATCAGGGTAAAACTTCATTTTTTTTTTTTATGGAGATAAGAGGTTGTGAATGACCAGAGATTAAGAACCATTTTAAATCTCTGCCTCCCTTCTTCACCCATGAAGAGATAATAGGAACTTCACCCCTTCTTTCTGGAAGGTAAAAACAGTTATTAACAATATTAAGAATCCTTTTACATTCTTCAATCTGTACCCTCTGGTTGTCAGATACTTTCTTGCAATTACCAGTAGAGTGTCACTTTTCAGGTTCAGACTTAGTGAGTCTTCCCCTTTATTTTTGAGAAAACTATCATTTCTTTAGTTACGTCTTTTCCAACCCAACCCTGCTCTTATATCCTTGAACTTGTACGCATTTCTTTTCTAGATTTCCCTTGAATCTCAAGCTTTGTTATACATAGATGCAATAACCATATCCCCAAGGAAAAGTAGAAGACCTGGTGTTCTTGCTGTGATCTGGGCTTGGGCTTTATTTTGCATGTATCAGTTGCAGACAGGAGAGCTCAGTTGGATCTCAGCCACATTTATATTTCCCTTCTCACTCTTCACCCTCATATCTAGTTGAAACATCTACACTTATGGGTATTCCTGGTCTCAAAAGGAGAAAGAAGAGAAATGTTTGATATAAAAAATGGAGTTTTCTTATTTCCAGGGAACATGACCAGGTTATGGATCATCTTTTTATATGCTCATTATTTCTGTTAAATTGAATGGAAATTAAAGAAATATACTAAATATTTCATTCACAAAGTTGCTCACTGTGTGCCAGAAACTCATGGAGAATAAAATCTTTAAAATTTGAGTATTAATAATGTTAATTTGGCCCAACTTAGGTGTGTATATGTGGTCTTTATTGAGCTGGTTGCAATGTGTATATCTTGTTACTCTGTTGTCACCTAGAGTGAAATTAATATTAAATATTTTAATATTTATTACCTGAATATACATTTATTACTCTGTGTAACACATTTCGTGATGGTCATAGAAAGTTTAATGATGCCTCCCTAAGATATTCATATCTTAATTCCTGAAACCTGTGAATATTATCTTCTGTGACCAAGAGAACATTATAAGTGTTATTCAATTAAGGAGCTTGTGGTGAGATTTTTTTGAATTATAAGGGAGGATCCTACATATATAATCCTAAGGATATTTTTAAGAATGAAGCCTGAAGGTGAAAAGGCAGGAGAAATGCTGTGACAACAGTTTGAAGAAGTCAGAGTAAAGAAAGAGAGCAAGGAATGCTGGGTGCAATGGCACATTCCCACAATCTCAGTGATTCTAGAAAAATGATACAGGAAGGTTACAAGTCCAAGGCCAGCCCCAGCAACCATGTGAGAGTTTCTTTCAAAATAAATTTAAATTTAAATTAAATAAGACTAGAGAGGCTCTGCTGGGTTGACTTGACCACCAATATTGAAAGGTAGGAGTGGGAGAGAGAGAATGGAGCTCTAAACCAAGGAATTCAAAAATCCTCTAGAGCTGGAAGAGAGAAGGAACATTCTGCACTTGAACCTCTAGAAGAGACCAATAGTGTCAATACCTTGATTTTAGACTCATATGACATTACTTAGAATTCTGATCTCCCGGACTGTAAGAAAAAATTCATATTGTGTCAAGCTCATGTTTGTGATGATTTGTTATAACAGTTAATAACAAATAAGGAAACTCTCCAATCTTTAAAAATCTCTATGCACTTCATATTGAGCAAGTGGCTTTCTCATGGGAAGACCATAGATTAGGCTGTTTCTCTTTTTTTCTTGAGGGCAGGGTAATGTCTGTGTCAATGACTTTACCTTTTCTCTGAGCAATATAAGGAGCGGAGGATACTTTTAAATTCTGGTCATTTTCTTACATATTATTGATATCAAATACTTTGATTATACCTCTTTTATCAGTTTTGCATTAATAATTAGTATTTTGGGGGTTTAGAACATCAAAGCCTATTTGTATCCAACTGCAGAGTAACCCATTTGTTAGCTCACCATTTGTTCCTGATTATCGTATTTCCTCTGTGTTCAAATTAATTTTTCTGATTAGATTCTTTCCATTAGTCTTTTTAAAACCTGTTTATCATTTTGCCTTAAAATGTCTTTATTTATCTTTATTTTTGTCCGACTGTGAATGTTCTTTATCTTCAACACACTATCTTGTCTATCTTTCCATGATTGATTTTGAAAAATTTACTGTTTGACAAATCATTCCTTGGAAGGTATTTTCTCAATAGTTATATTGAAATCTTTATATTGGAGTTTTAAATTTTTGGTATAGTATACTTGGGGTTGAATTTACTTTGTCAATCTTATAGCAAGATTATGATGTTTCCCAATTCTAAGAATTTGCATTCTGACTCTATTCTCAAGAATTCTCAGAAATATCTTTGATTAAGTAATCGTACTTTGATAAAGTAATCGTACTTTAAATTTTTATCTTGATTTATCTTAATCTCTCTTTCATATTTTCTATTTATCTCACTTATTTATATGTAGGTAATGCTCTCCATTTATGTCTCATTTGTTGTTGAACTTACCTATATTTTCATTTCAAAGAAATAATAAAGGTTTAAGGAGACAGATGTGCCCATGCTAATTTGAACATTATATAGAATACATATCTATTAATACATAATATAGCACTCTGTAAACATGAACAATTTTGTGTGTCAATTAAAAAATTAATATAAAACCAAAATCTCAAAAATTAAAAAAAATATTTAGGAGATATACTGCCAACTATACAAACTGATTTCCTGAAACTTTTAGTCTGCAGGTCCAGAAAGGAAACAGCACCAGATGAACTCCGCAGTTAACTGAAAAGGATATTGTTTGGAAAGAGTTGTCTCTCCCTTACTTTGAACACATGCTAGACTATTTTAATATTAGCTTCATTCCCATTGATGTGGGTGTTAATAATTGGTCAAATACTGTTACGTTAGCCTGGCCCTCTCCCTCAACATTCCAGGGCTAAACACAGGAATTTAAAAATGGAATGATAAAGAGTACTTCATCTTTGAAGTACTCTTTGGTTTATATTTTGGGCCCAGGGACCAATCACATAGGAGTCATGGAGAATTTTCACTCAGTCACAGAATAAATTTTCTAGGACAATATTTTTCATTTCTGAAAGCCTGATTATGTAAAAATATTTTTTTATTTGTAGTATTTTGATTTTTCTTATATCTATGATAGTTTTAAACATACTTATTTAGTATCACTACAAAATAGTGAAGTAATTTTTTTTCAGGGTTAAAACATGTTGCACTTGTGCTTAAAGAATCTATAGTTTCATGTTTTTATATTTCCAGATTGTTAACTCATCTTCAATGAGTCATTATTTGCAGGATAATCTTAAAGATGGTTGATTAATAATTCATAGTTCTACATTTCCAAGTACCAGGTATTCCTAGGGTAATACTAGGCATGGTTTAATTTTATGTTTGTTCTTTCCTTTTAGGTTTGACTAATATTATATGTTGTGGATACTATGCCTATGAATTCTACCACCTATTCCCTGATAGGACTTCTAAAAAATTTTTTTTTCACAAAATGTATCCACTGAATTCCTCCTCTTCACTCTCCAAAAAGTAAAATATATATGTGATGAGGTTCTGTCAATTGGACAGAAACAGAAATCCACCCCCCCCCAAAAAAAAAAGAGAGAGAGGAGAGAGGAGAGAGAGAGAGAGAGAGAGAGAGAGAGAGAGAGAGAGAGAGAGAGAATGTGCCAGTAGGGCAATATTATGAAAGAATAGGTCCAAGCTATACCTTTCTTTCAGGAACTGAGCAGGGATGCTGAACTGGATTTCTTCAGGTATGCTCAGATTCCCCCTGTACTAATCTACCTAGATTTTGCTCTTTTACCTTTCCCCTTATAAGCATAAAAGAGAAAGAGGGTGAAAGGGGAGTTGCGTAATTATTTCTATTCAGAAACTCTTTCCTCATGAATCCAGGCATTGTCCTCCAAAGTGTACAGAGATTGTGGCTAATATAAGTGTTAAGTATGAAGCTCCTAGAAAATGGAACAAAGATCATATGGATACACTAGGAACTCACTTCATTTGTTTATTCAAACAACAAATTTTCTGAATATCATGTGCTGAGCTCTAAGAATAGATATGGCTCATGACTTCATAGAATATAAAATTTGTATCCTTCTAAAAACCAAACTTGTGTGCTCACTATATTATCATAGGGTGTTGAGGTTTGGATTGGAAGCCATGCTACTCTCTAAAGCTCTATTTCTGATTAGGTCAGAATTTATGAGATAGTAGAATTTCTATTCTTTTGAGAAATTTTTCTTTGGACAACCTGCTTACAATGAGCCTGGAGACTCAGCCCAGTTCATGGTTTCCAGGGCACAGTCACAACACAGAAGAACCAAAATTCCTGAGCAAACTTTAGAGCTCCACACAGGGACAAGAAATTATAGCTGAAACAGCTGGTTACATTCTGCCTACCTCTTAACAGTTTTCTCCCCAACTTAATTCTCCATGCCCTCCACCCACATATACTTATTTTATCATGTACAGTTATCTCTATTTTTGAATTGGGAAGTGGTATCTTTCAGTACTCCATGTTTATTACACCTAGGCCCTGCCCTCAAGATTCCTCATGCCTACCAGCCTGGGTTAAGACACATGGTGCTATTTGCCTTATTCTCCATTTCCATGCTCTCATTCTCTAGAGATTTAAACCTCAAATGAAACAATCAATCCTTATTTTTGAACAAATTAAATATTCATGATCTTACCTGTCACTGTCTCTGTTTAAAATGTTAACCAAGCTCACCACCCATATCTATTATTTTATCAAGATCTCTTCTGAATGTTTCTGGAATGTATATCATGCAAACCTTAAAGTAAAATGGTGTGTGATAAATACAGTGTGCTTGGTACATTATAAGTTCCTAGCATGATGCTTAAAATTGGGTTAAGGTTCAACGTATGACTCATTGGGTATTTACAAATATCAATACAGGAGGAGATTTGAGTGGAAATAGTATGTGTGTTTCTTGGCAGTGATGTTTGACACACATACATGTATTTGTTTACTGACCTGTAATTCAGGACTTGTGTATTTCTCTCTTTCTCTCTCTCTCTCTCTCACTCTCTCTCTGTGTATGTATGTGTGTTGTTCATCAATGTAATTAATGAGAATATTATCTTTGAGACTGGAGTAACTAATGTATTTGTGAATCATAAGGGAACAATCAAAGAGTGTGGGGAGGTAAAAATCAATATTTATAAGAGAAAGAATGCATGAGTTTTGAAAATACAAGTTTATATGAAGAGGTAAAGTAGATGAAGGTACTAATATGCATGTGTAGGACAAAATAGGTAGTAATGTGATGCACTGGAAAATAAAAGTGTGAAAGCCTGAGAGGCTTAAAGTAGATATATAGAAGCTGAGGTTTTGCCTGGCAGAAATATGTAAATATAGCAAAATTCATGCAACAGTATGTTCAGAATATCACTTTACTCTCTTCATAATGAAAGTAGCCCAAATGCCCAGCAAAGTATAACAGTGGAGGATTTATTTTTATTCTCATAAAATATGCAATAATGATAATATACACATGACTGTTATATGCAGCATGGACAAATTGTACAAATACAATGATGAGTTAAAGAAGTCACACACAAAGTGTTTATTTTGTATTTCTATTTGTACAAAGTATAAAAAACAGAGCTAATAATTACTCTGAATTCTAGGATCATCTAGAATTCAGAGTAATTATTCCTCTTTGTACAAAAGAGACAAACTCTGAGTACAGAGGACTCATGCACATATGAAAGTTTATAAGGCAATCAGAGATGAGGATAGGGAGTGCAGATGGGTATATGTAGGGATAAGTTTGAGAATATTGGCTACTTAGATCTGATGAGTTCTTGACCTGGATATGTCTGTCTTATGGATCTTGAGTCCAATTTTTGAGGATCCTACCACTTGGGGACTGTTTTAAGTTGTTAGTACTTCCATGACTTCCTGACAAAATAACAAGCTTTCTGCTTGGTCACACTGACATGCTATTAACATGTGTTCCTAAGTGTCTCTGATACTTCTATTCCCCTCAGTTCACCTCATGACAATACTTCAGAGCATCTTCATGTAAATTCAACTTCCTGAGGAATTCAATAAAAAGAAGAGATATCTATGTTCAAAGTTTATGTGTATTTATCTATACTTAAGAATATAATGAGTCACTGTGTGCCGCATTCAGCAAACACACAAGGTCTCCATCCTCATGGATAGAAAATTTATTCCTAAAACTAAAAAATGTAAATGTGGAGTAATACTTACTGTATACCTTCATGACATGAGTTATTATAATGTGTCATTTGTAAATGGAGCCGAGACAGATATTTTCTTTTAACCATGGCATACTACTATATTATATTTTTCACTCTCTCTTGTAGTTAGTGCTGATCATGCCATTGAGTTTTCTATGACAAATGAGTGAAAGTGACAAGTGCCACTGCCAGACATGAACACACAGACATCTGTACATCTCCATGCTATTTCCTTGTCCAGCTGATAGGGATGTTGATAACCCAAGGTTATATTTGAAAGCTGGATGTTAATGATGACAAAGTATCTTTCAGTCCCAGTTCATGAATCCATGAGTTACACTGTAGAGGACATTTGCCCTTTCTTTCCTTTATTGCTGCTCCTGAATTGTTACTTAAGAAAGAAGTAGATTCATCATTTAGCTACTACCTCTTGGTCTGCTCTCATGAAGGTGGGTGTAATTTGTTTTTGAGAGGTAAGTAATCTAATAACATATATATATATATATATATATATATATATATATATATATATATATATAGATGGGTGTATATGCTTTGTGTGTCTCAACTTACACAGCTTATATCTTGAACATGAAATGGATTTTATTGATGATAACTGAAGAAAACTTTGCTATTCAGGCATCTCTACAAGGCACCATCAGAAAACACACAAGACCTCAACCTTGTTAGAAATATCAGGTTGTCCTCAGAAATATGAGCCACTGTTTAGAATGTTGGGGTGGGCTCTGTTCAGTCCTGCATTGAACAATGGTCCTACCTCATAGGAGTTCTTTGTTTACTGTTAATCTCCATGGTAAGCACAACTGTGTCATTTCCCATAAAGAGCCAAATACCATTTACTAAACTTAGTAATCATGGTTAAATACTCTTTGTGTATGTTTGTTTGTGTCCTTTTTGTTTTCTTATTTGTAATTTTATTTATTTATTCTTTTATTTATACCAGGATTTGAACCCGGGGGTGTTTAACCTCTGAGCTACATTCCCAGTCCTTTTTATTTATTTTTATTTTTTTCAAATCAATAATCCAAATAAAGTTTATTTGTAAGGTACAATTTTTAAAATGAATTTTCTACAGTTAAAAAAAAAACATTGATAAAGACCATGAAAATTTAGTTAGATCTGGATTTGAACCTTGTCACTTAGCAGGTGTGAGACAATGAAAAATGAGTAACTTGGCCAGGAGCATTTTCCTTACTTATAAACAGGTAAGAATGAATCCCTGCTTTGCATGGTAATTTTAAGGATTAGATAGGGACCTAGTACTATGTTATGTTAGGTAAGTGCAAATAATAATAGGTTCTCAATAAATGGTAGTTCTTGTTATCAATTCTACTACAACTAAACAAACTACTGAGCCACAAGAGAGTCCAAGGACTACTTGGTTAGTGGAATATGATCTTGAGATAGTTGGCTA